ATACTTGCTTCGTTTCTGAAGGAAGTGACTTGGAAGTACGCGACTACCAAGCCAAGTCTGTAGTCTTGTAGCATCTCGTTGTAGTATTTTGTAGCATCTCCCATAAACACCTGACATCTGACAGTAGGACCTGTTAGCAGGAGAGTAACCGCTGGCCTCTGCAGCATTAAGGGCATCTCCAGCCATTATGTTGCAGTAAATGTGCCTCCATGTGTGTCTTTATGAGTGTGTGTGCACCGGACGGGGAGAGGGAGTGTGTGCGCACCGGGCGGGGGAGAGGGAGTGTGTTAGGGCGAGAGGTAATGATGTATTAGTGAGAGCAGGATGGTCTCTGGGGGACATTCATCACAACGAGACAGCTGAGGGACGGAGCCATCAGTCAGACACAACTCCAGGTCTGAGACAGGAGAGAAGGTGTCCAGACGGACAAACAAAGGAAGCCAGATAAGATAGACAGGTATACATGGTTTGTATACCTGATGTTTCACCACTTCCTGTCCCCTGGTCTGGAGGTCAATGGTTCTCTGAATGAGTTTTTGGTTAGCATGAACTACGGTCTGTGGTTAACACAAGCTGAAGAGATTTTACGTCAACGACATAAAATACGCCACTAACAAGTGTCTAAATGCCTAACATTAGCCTCCTTTAGCTTAGCGGTGGTGACGTGAAGTCATGTGACCGTGCTGTAGTTCCTTTATAGCCCAACATTAGCCTCCTTTAGCTTAGCGGTGGTGACGTGAAGTCATGTGACCGTGCTGTAGTTCCTATAGCCTAACATTAGCCTCCTTTAGCTTAGCGGTGGTGACGTGAAGTCATGTGACCGTGCTGTAGCTCCTTTATAGCCTGAAGTAAGCTTTTTACATCAGAAATCATAAAGCTGTTTTAATATGTGGAGGAGCATTATGTATGGTGTAATGTTCAAACGGTAGAAAATATCTTCCTCTCTGTCTTTCCTTCCTCCTGCAGCAGCGGCTGCAGCCCAGTCGCAGTCAAAGACTTGTATTGTCGGCTAGAGAAGCTACGACAGCAACAGGTTGCTTTGCTTCATGTTTATCGTCCCCCCAATATATTTATCTCTAATCTCAAAATACCTGCTTCTGTTCTATCAACTGTTTCTCATTTGCTTTCTTTCTGCTCGGCTTTATGTATATTTACTACTACTGTATTATTCATCAAATGCACTTAGTATCATAGCATTTGGAGTGTGAGGGAAATGGTAAATGGACTGTACTTATAAATCTCTTTATCAGGTCTTCTCGACCCCTCAAAGCTCTCTACATACTACGAGTCATTCACCCATTCACACCTCATTCATGCAGAGCAGCACTAACTCTAGGGAAGCTAACACACACCTGTGGGGGAAACTTCTGAAGCAATAGGAGAAGGACTCAAAGACACGAGGAGAGCTGGAGCTTTGATGGCAAACACTGACGGTTTATTTGGAGCTTCGGCCGGAGAATTCACAAGACATGTCACGGGCCACGGTCTGACCACACGGTAGAGATGCCACCATCAATTCTGAAGAACTCTACGGCCGTGTGTTTAGCTAGTTCAGAGAGAATAATCAACATGCTGCATAACAAGATAGAATCATAACCTCTATCAGCTGACGCCAACAGGCAGGAGCAGAGAGACAGAGCACTGAGAGCACAGCAGCCAGGTCACAGGTGCGTGTGCTCAGTCAGGACAGAACTGATAAACTGGGTCAAAGTTATGGGCCTTGGGAAATATTTCCCCAACACTAGGGTCAAAGTTCAAATGGCTAGGGATTACTTTGACCGAGATGCGCCGGCCCGTGCCTTGCCTTGGACTTCTACACAACTGCTCGGGTCTGGATGGACTGAGTGGGGAAGTTCAGGAGATATTCTCCCTAAAATAAATCCCGCCATAAATCCTCCGAGCTGTCAAGAGGAAAAAGATCAAAGCAGATATTTTGAGCGCCTTTGATGTTTTTGAGGAGGAGGGTACTTCTGAAGACCTTCCTTTGGGGAGATGGATGTGTTGGGAGTTTGAACAGGAAGAGGATGGTCAGTGTTCTCTGTGGGGGTCCTGCGTTCCTTTAAGATATTTCCCACAATGCCGTATTATTATTATTACCTGTCCGAGCCGCTGCCGTGGCGCTGTTCGTCAGCCCTCCTGCCTCCGTAACCACGGTAACGTTGTACAGTCGCCCGGGCGTCAGGTCGAGGAGTGTGTGCTGTGTCGCCGTGCTCAACAACGTCTCGTTCCTCAGCACACCTGCAGGGGAAGGAGAGTCAAAATATCCATGCTTTTATTTTGAAATTCCATATTATGATTATTATGATTATGCTTTTATTGTCATGTGTTCGTAGCTACAGTGAAGATATGTCAATGGAAACCTGAGGTCACATGCTCCTCCAACAGAGCAACACAATAACACAGATACAATAGTGCAGGTAAATAAACAAACACTGAAATAAAGAGAGAAAACATATCAACTAGTGGAGAAAGGACTTCAACCATTTACCAAAATAAAAGCATGGACACTTAGGCAGGAAAAGCAGAAGCAGTCCTGAAGAACATTTTTTATAAACATTTGTGTTATATTTTGTTATGTTTCGCTTCATGTTTGTTTGCCTTTCGTATTGGTCAGATATCCGATCATGTGACCCCTGACAGACGCACCTGATTGGTCTCTCAGCTGCAGCCTGAAGCGCTGAGTCCTCCCTGGGCCGGCCTGCCAGGAAACACCCAGGCTGCTGGAGGAGGCGGAGAGAGAGAGGCCGAGGACTGCTGAGGGGCCTGAACACACACACACACACACACACACACACACACACACACACACACACACACACACACACACACACACACACACACACACACACACATTTGAAATACAAACGTGAAAAATGTCAGAGAAATTAATTAAAGAAATTCCTAAAAATATGTAAAAATATAGGAAAAAAAACGTCAAAAAATAAGTAATAAAATGGCAGGAAAATACATTACAAGGGTACGAACTAAATGTATAGAAATAGGCCCTAAAATATGTTAAAACTGTTACTGTATGTATGCCAAGGCAATAAGTGGGAAAGATGTCCTTAAAAATGTGATATAGTTCAACTTAAATACAGAGGTAAATATTGCACTTATTTTAGTAATAATAATAAATACCGGTAATTCAAATGATAATAAGTAATTAAAAACAAAGAAGGTCAAACACGTCACAAAACTCCTAATAAATCCCTCCATAAATCCTCCGAGCTGTCAAGAGGAAAAAGATCGAAGCAGATATTTGTTGCGCCTTTGATGTTTTTAAGGAGTTGGGTACTTCTGAAGACCTTCCTTTGGAGAGATGTATGTGTTGGGAGTTTGAACAGGAAAAGGATGGTCAGTGTTCTCTGTGGGGGTCCTGCTTGTCTTTAAGGTATTTCCCACAATGCCTCTGTGTGTGTTTGTGTCGCCACCTCGGCTTCAAACTGAGAGGAACAATATTATCAGCTGCAGACATCTCCAGTGTTTCTGTGCGGAGACTTAATGAGTGTTTTTAAGTGTGTGTGTGTGTGTGTGTGTGTGTGTGTGTGTGTGTGTGTGTGTGTGTGTGTGTGCGCGTGTGTGTGTTGAAAACCAGTCCTACTTCCTGTCATACAC